TGCTTTGCAAAGTGATTATATAATTCTCTCCACAACATGCACTCATGGATACATAGTTAGTAGCTAACTTGGTTTAGTTTTATCTTAGCAAATATGAAATTATAAAATATAATTACAACAAGTTTTTATGATACTTTTATATGAGCATTTGTTAAATATTTTGTATTAACATGAATATAGTTCAAAGTGGCAAAACATGTACTTAATTATGACGTTACGATATGTATGTACGTGGATTTTTGTTTTATCTTCTGATTTAGTTTTTGTCTTCTATTCTTGCTGATTTCTTGTGAAAAATATCAACATATATATTGGAATTACTAGATGAGCCATATCAATCTCTATGTATAAGCAATGGAAAAAAAGTCTTAAATAGATAACATACAAATACTTTTATTATATAAATATGTTATTTCATAATTTCAATAAAAAATAAAAATAAAAATTATTTTTTAATACAACTGGAATCATGTAATAAAATTAAATAAAGATGGATTAAAAAAATTGATATTGAATATAATAATAAAAAATAAATTATAGACTGTGATGAAGTTGATTAGAAGTATTACCATTTATTATTTAAATTTTGAGATATTTGAATAAAAAAGTAAAAGAATATAAATTTTTTTCATTTGATTGTCTTTAAATCAAATATGAGTTCCAAAAATAAAAAAATGTAAAGATCTTTCAATTGTGTTATATATATAGATTAAGTATAAATAGATATTATGAAAATAAATAAAACGATTATCATTTTATGAATAAAATTCCTTTTTTGATTGAATTTTTAGATTGATGGATTTTTTATATCATATTTACTAGTGAATAAGTAGACATTAAAATTTGAACAAATATTCACATTGTAACTCTAGGGTTTAAAGATAAGTTCACTCAAAGATGAAATCATAAAAACTAAATATAAAAGATATCAACAATAGTTATAGTTTTCCATATATAGTTCTTACCAACAAATACAAGACGATAAGATATCATCTCCACCATTCAATTTATTCATAGTGAATTGGTTACATTGCGGATATAACTAATGAGTACGCGGATTGCTGACGTGTCATTTCCAACTAACACATTCAATTCTTGTCTAACAAGCACATGGATATATTACTTGTCGTTCCCAACTAGCACACGGATTGTTAAAATGTCATTATAGATATTCCATTATCATATACTAAATTTAATCTTGAGAAACTTTACTTGAGAAACTTTAGTTCTAACTAACTAAAGATGATTATAGAAAATTTATGAAACTTTTATTCTGAACATTATAAAAATTAATTTTTAAGTTGACCGATTGATGATATTGATTATTCAAAGTTTGTATTGTGTGAATGTATTGCATAGCATTTACAAAAATAAAAATAAGAGTTTCAATTTTGAAATAAATTCCAAAAATAATATGTGATTAATCTAAGAATTCAAACATAACAAAATCAAATGAAAAACACAATGAATTTTTTTTCAAAAAATTTATTATTTTAATAATTTAAAATTTACATTCTTTTCAATAATAATAAATAATTTATGCTCATGAATCGTTTTGTTAAGTGAACAAAGAGAAACAAATAAATTTTAAAAAGTTAATATATTTTTCATTAGAGATCATTGACTTCAACTGGACTTTGGAGTAGAATTTACAATAGTATTGAAACATTAGTATAGTGATGCAAAATTTCAATTTTAAAATCTTACTTTAATAATGGAAAAACAAATTCATCATAAATAAAAAACGTGAATTTTTAAAAAAATATTTAAGAAACAAAGCAATTGAGTTTAAAAAAAAATCAACTTGAGATTAACTTTTATCAACAATGATAAGAAAATAAAAAGACTATCTTGAGTGATAAATTATCTAACAAAATTTATAATTGTAATAAAAATGACATGCAAAATTAAAATTCATAAGAAAGTTATAATCTTTTAGATAAAGAATAAGTACAAAAAGTCATTTAATTCACTATACATAGCTCATTGCATTGAACATCCCATTATTAAGTGTTACTAAATGATGTTATTTGATACATGAAATAAAATTATATAATTACAATCTATCTTGACTTAAAAATTAAAAATATATCTATATATAAAGAAACTTCTGCGATCTTAAAGTTGTGGAATCAAAACAAATAATAGCATAAAACACTAGGAGAAAAATATTATGGATATTCATAAATAGAAATACTTTTTAAATCTATACCATATTTGATTTTTTTTAAATATAATAAAAGATAATCATGTAAAAAATAAAAAAATAATTGAATTTTTTTACAAAGAAATACAAATCACATAATTAAATTTAATTAAACTTCATAAAGTTTTATATATAGAAAAGCATAAAAAATTAGAAGTTTATAAAGAAGAATTGAAAATTGAAGAAAAACTATTAATATTTTGATGATTTTAAGGTCAAATAATTGATCAAAATGTTGACATAGATCATAATATAAGAAGTAAAATAAAATTTATTTTCAACACAATTATAATAATTATTTTTTAGATTATTATAGAAGTATAACTTGAATTCATTAGAAACTTTTATTTGGCATTGTAACAATATAGTAATCAAAAATATGAAGAGTTGATAGAAAATTTGCTGTTTGACAATTTATTTTGGAGTTTTAAATTTGATTTGTGAATGTCGTTGGACTATAATATCCGGTGGTTCAAATTTACTTATAATTTTGTATAAAGTTTCATGATAAGGTTATTTTGAATTCACTTAAAAGCTGAAAAAATAATAATTGTATAGCATCTTATAAAATTATCATTTGTTGAAATGGTTAAAACTGCTAGAATAAAATTTTGTTGTTTAAAATAGTGTAATGTGACACCAAAAAAATAAAAATTCAAAATTTTAATAATGTATATTTTTAATTTCTGTATATTGAAAACACATGTTCCTATGCTATGAATATTATGTTTACAATAGAAAATAAATTTTAAAATTTTGGATTTAGAAAAAATAATTTTAAATTCAACTCATATAAAAATTATCCAACAATCTTCAAGTATGCATTTATTTATTTTGAGGTTAATGGCAGTTAAGGAGTAATTTGGGGTCCTAACTATAAGTAGCTAGAACATTCACCTAGTCGAATTAACAATCCCGACTTCTGCTTGTACATTTAGTATTGTGTGAGAAATTTGAAATAAAGTGCTACGTATTTTTGGTGGATGTAGCTCATTCAAAAGGATAAACCACTTTACATCTGAGTGTTTGCTGTTACTTGCGTGTTTTGCATTTTATATTTATTAGTCTCTTATGTTTTGCACTTTGTTTATATTTTAAATTTGAATAAATATTGTTGTTAATCATAAGTATAGATTTCTTATTATTTTACCTTATGCAATGTGATTGTATTTTTATTTATTGAGTTTGATCAGCATGAAAAAGAAATTATAATATCATCAAAAATACTAATAATTTATAATTTTATATATTCAATACACATATGAAAATAATGAGCAAATTAAATTCATAATTGAATAAAGCATATGAGGTTTCAAAACAGTTTAGATTTTGATCGAAGAATATTGAAGATTTATTTTCTTCAAATTAAATTCAAATTTGTCACTGAATTTTGAATAAATGCATTAATAGTGTAATTTTGTAAATATATTAAAAATAATAATTTCAGTCTATATTTATAATTTCATGGTATTTAATTGCATGATTATAATTAATTATTATTTTTCAACATTTTACTGAAATTTTCTAAATTTGATCCTGTCAATTTGGAGATTTAAAAGTTATTGAATATAAAAGATTTTGCAAACAAAACATCAGATTAATTAACTCTATTCAAATAAATTCTCAATATATACATATGTAATTTAATATCTATGTGTAGTGGAACATATATGGGTTGTATGTTTAGCAAATCTGTGAATTTGTTGAATGGTGATTTTAAATAAGTTGGTCATTATATTTGATGAAAGTGACACATAAGCATTTTATGAACTGATGTTGATACATGCTACATCATTGATTGACATAATTATATTTACGATGAAGATCGTTGCAAAAATAAGATCCACTAGTTTGATTGAAATTTTGATAAAAAATATATTTCATAAAATGATAGCAAAAATTTTGATGATTTTTGTGCATATCAAGATGGTTTTTGTTCATATTGCTATACTCGAAGGTTGTGAGTGCACACTTCTAAAGGTAATACTTAAATGTGTTTTATTAATATTTCTAGTTATATGAGTAATATGAAAAGAAGTCAGAATCTACGGAATTAACTAGATGTTTCCAGACCAAGTTTGGTTAGACTCTCACCTTGGTAAATTTCGCGGGCTACAAATTCTCCATCCAGGTGAGGCATATATACCGTCCTTAACACAACAGGAACATGCTTCTGCTTGGAATCATGGTTACGACTGTGGTTGTGTCACGGTAACATGAATATTATAAATTAAAAGGGACACATGCAGAGCCAAATAGCATATGGGGGTGGCATGGGACTGAGGAAAATGCCAAGTGGGAGCCTCATCCCGCGACAAAAGGAAACAGTTGCTAATGCATAACGACGCAGAGATCACTGTAATCGGGAAGAGAACAAGGACGCCGGAAGGAGATTTGGTCGAACGCAGTACAGTACGATGTACTGTGCACTGCAAGCTTGCGCCATCGACTGGACGAAAGCAAAAGGCGATGCGTCGCCAGTTCGAGAGGGCAGGACGGTAGGACCTGCAGGACCCACCGCCAGGTCCCACCTGCAGGGGTCAAAGTCGCCAAGCGACCGGGGCGACCGGGGCGACCACTCGGGCTTGTCCGGTTGCGTACCTCTGTCCTCGGACCTCGGGCCACAGAGGCGATGCCTGCCAGCGGGCCCGGGTCGAAGGTGACCGGGCTGCGCTTCCAAGGGACGGAGCACTTTTCACAAGTCACGTCATTTGTTGGAGCGTCCCTCGAATCGAGATTCGGGTGCCGTTGCGCGATGCCCAGGGCCCGGGCGGAGGGACGGTCGCCTGGTCGCCCGGACGCCCGGACGCCTGGACGCTCCGCTCGACGAAATTGAATTTGCTGGCCGCAGCTGAATTTCGGCAGGCGACATTCCAGGCCTCGCTTATAAATTCGCAATTCGATGCCAGTCTCGCGGGGATCGGACTCCGTGAACATCATCGAGAGCGCAAGCGCGAGTCGAGAGTCGCGAGCGAGAGCATCGGCATCGTCGAGCTCGAAAAAGCTGAGCAGGCGCTGTGGTGCGTGACGATGGAATTGCTGTGCGGACCCACGCCGGTCTGAGATGCGGTTCTGATGTGCGACCAGGACTCGGCCAGCGGATTCGGATTTTGAAACCATCGAGGCACGACGTCAGCGGCGAGCAGGCTTCGGGAATTGGAACAGGATCTCCGAGGATCAGAATTGCCGATTCTTTGGCTCCGATCTTGTATTGTCTGCTCTTCTTTTCCGTGAAAGATCGAGGAATTGTACTCCTGACCCTCGTGCCAATTCCCTTGCTGTTCCGGGGATCTGCCCGCGAAGGTTGTTTTTCTCACGCAGCGCAGCTGCTGCTGCTGCCGCTGCTGTAGCGAGAAGATGGAGACCACGTCCACGGACAGTCCTGACGGGAACGGGGCTCTTCCTGAAGCTTGCGAAGAATCAGCGGTCCAGGAATCACGCGTGCAACTCATCAATGTGTGGTCGGGCCCTCGGTCTCTCAGTACGAGCCTCATGTATTCTTTCGCCCAGGTGCGCTCTCTCCTCTCTCCAGCAGCCCAGTCCTTCCTGCCGTAACGCACTGAGCAATTTTATTTCGAGTTCATCGCTCATTTTTTTGGCATCGACGGTGGGCATCTTTGACGTTCTTTCAATTTCGAATGATAGAATCAAAGACTGTTTGATGCGCTCCGTCATAACGCCGTAGTAGTAGAACCCGGTTCAGAGACAGGAGTCTCCAATTGTTTTTCCACTCCATCCGAATACGGAGCCTTGTAATTCAGCTGCATCTCTTCGTGGGGACTTGTCGCGAGTGAGCTTCAATTGGACCTGGGTAGCAATAAGAGTTCTCATCTCGTCTTGATAATCTGTTATTTTTTTGTAAGAGAGATGTCGGAATAAGCACATCTGGATTCAGGCGAAGCTGAATCGAGGCGGACTGCACAGAACAGAGTGAAGTTTCGCCTTTGTTATCTTCACATAGATGTGCTGTTTCGTGTTTCATCCCTCCATATGGGAGACAGCACACGCAGCTCAATCTTCTAGTGCTTATCTTATTGCCAACACGTCATCTTACAATTTTCCCGAATTGTGGATTAGCTGTTTATGGTTTTGTAGAATCGAACCACCCCCACCACCTCACCTGCTTCCAAACTATGCAGCCCACACTATATATACACTTCCTACTCATTCGCAGTTTCACCGTTGAAAATCCCTCTCGAATAGGTGCCCGCTGACATTTGTTACACGTTCCTTCGAGACTTAAGTTGTAGTTTGCTGTCAAATATTGGTGAGAGCTTACTCAGAGAAGCACGTGACTTGTTTTACTGAATGGTGTATTTGCCTACCTGCTCAGAGGGATGATACGGAAGTTCTTGATGAGCCTTTGTACGCTCACCATGTGTATCTTACGGGAGCAGAACGACCTTATCGCGAACAGCTTTTGGCTACTATGGTAACCCTTCAACACTCATGTTTCATGGAATATGTGTTGGACACCAGGCATCTTTATGTGAACTCACAATCTCACTTTCCACCTCTTTGTTCCTTTAGTCCGTCGATGTGAAGTGCTACGTTGGAGCACATCCATGCAATAGAGTATAGAAGAGAATATCATCATTGACAATTTGCTAGGAGGCACTCTATGTGGCTATCTATCCTTGTTGACCATTACCATTCCTTTATCATAAAGAAACGAAGCCATGTCCGTTCTGTTTCTTGGAATAAAGTAAGCCACTTTAGACCACTGACTTCTTGTTGCTGTCTTCTCGGTGAAATCATGACGTATCTCTTTATCCTGTTTTATTTTCTTCCTTTGGTCCTGTTTCTACTTTTTGATGTGGCCATGACACACAGTCCTCTGATTTTTTTACCGGTCGGACTTCGAGTTACTGCTTCTATGATTGGGTCTTGTATTGAAGCGGCAGTGGTTTAATATGCAACTGCAATAATCGTGCGAGTCCTTGCTCTTGGTATGGTATTTACTTTATATTTGTATGTTAGTTATCGCGTAGAACTGATCTTCATGATAGTGGTCAATGTCAGTCTTTCTGGTTATCTGACATGAAGATTTACTACAGCATCGTTGGATTCAATTTGTTCATGGCTGGTGGTCTTCTAAGGCTCAAGGCAATTATGAAGTCGATGAGATTTAAATTTACCTCGTCGGTTCTCTCTGACCATTATGAGTAGCCTCTTTTCTTTTCAGGAAACAGACGGAAACAAAGTCGTTCGGAATTTGATTGAAAGACCATCAACAAAAACATACAGATTCTGTAAGGTTCGTCTCCTCCATAGTGAAACTCTTCGCGTCTTCATGATTCTGTCTATTCTAAATTGTTCAAGTACGGCTGTTCATCTGGCGTTTATGTAAAATCACCTCATCTGACGATTTATTTAATAGGTCGCCTTATGGACTTCTAAGTGGGTGAGTGTGATAACTGAATTTTATTACATGCATGTAGTATCAACCCATTTCACACTGGTGGACCGAATTCTCCTACTAATCAAAGCCAGACCAATATTTCTCATTACAATGTTGCTAAATTTCTTTACCTTGACACTGCTCTCATGTAATTCTTCAACTGGCTGGCGACAAAAGTTCACTTGTCCAAGAAAGCCAAGATTAGAACAAGATACAATTTTTAAGATACGATTTACAACAAGATGCACCTACCTATTTGCCTGTGTTGGTTTCGTGTACCCTTTATCGGGGCGGAGAAGGTCGTTGGAGTTTCTCTTGGGTTTGTGTGACAATTATTTCTTCAGATCAGTACATGATTTTGAAACAAAACTTAGTAGCAAAAGAGATTGTTCATGGCAAATTCTATCTTAAACTGCAGACAAAGTCATGTCATCTACACACATATATCATATCATATAATACATTGTGTTGGTTTGCATGCAGCATATGGCAAAACATCGGACGCCCGGCTTGTCCAATGACTTAATGACGACGGGAAAGCATGTTCTTCTTATAAGGGACCCTGTTTCATCTCTTGTAAGTTGTGATGTCACCCCGTACAACTTGAAGGCGCTCGTTTTCCACGTTAGGAAGTCTTTCTACATGTTATCTTCAATACGACTGCATTTGCCTTTAAATCCTGCAATTAGTTAGGAGGATCTAGTCGGCATTGACAGAGTTTGAGTGCAAGAGTATGTAACATCTACCAATTTCTAACTTCAGAATAGTACATTCTATATGGAATACTCACCTCGTACACGACACAAGTATTTTACTCCTAAGAAAGAAGTTTTTTTTGTACTCATTCACTGGAGTTGATTCTTTCGTGGGAATTCCCTAACGTTGGCATTTACGTATTACAACTTTGTGTTTTCAGCCTTCCTTTGATAAGGTGCTTCCTGTTACTCTGGACGAGTTAGAATTGGCAAACCTGGTTGGCATGTACAGTGAGCTTTCAGCTCGGGGAAATCCTCCACCTATAGTGAATGCTCGAGACCTCCAGCAAAATCCAGAGGTAAATTATTGAGTTTCTAAGCATCAGTTTCGCTTTTGGAAGAACTATAGATCTGTTATTTGCACTGCATCTCTCTTGAATCCTTGTTGAAAAATAATTCGAAGCTGACGCCGGTTTTGTTTTGTAGGGTATCTTGAGGGCTTTATGCGAAGCTCTCAAAATTCCATTCCAGGCGTCAATGCTTCGGTAGGTATCCTAACATCGAAAGTGAGAATCATATGTGTTCTTATATTCGTGCGTGCAAATAATAGAAATTATTTCCGGGAGCGTTCATAACTTAAACCTCTTATCATTGACTATAAGTCATCAGGCTTATCAATTCGTTGTCGTATACAGATGGCCAGCTGGTCCAAAGCCAGAAGATGGTTTATGGGCTCCGTGGTGGTACAAGACTGTACATAAGACAACTGAGTTCAACGCGCGCTCACCATTCAATACGAAGGTATACACCTTCGCCTTGCCATAGTCAACGTTTTTTTTTTCCTTTTGAGTACTAAAGGCAAATGTCTCGGATCTTGTTTATGTATGAGTTTGTTCGGTTGAGAATGATGACAAATATTGTCTCCTTTGTTGATTAACTTTTCTGAAGTATACTTAATCTGAATCATCGTCTGAGCAGCCTTTTCCTAAGAAGCTTTACCATTTACTGGAGCATTGCCAACCTTTCTATAACCTTCTCAACCGTCATGCTCTACGACCGGCTTCTACTGAAACTATTCCTCCTCCTTTACCAGTTTCAGCAAACGAGAAATTGCTTATCTGGGTCAATGATCAACTTCTTGTTCGTGAAGACGCCAAGGTTGTACTTTGCAAACTCAATCTACTTCTTCCTTGTTTTTCTTTTCTCTTCTAGACGATGCATGCATTTACATTTCATATGCAGTTGACTTGTGTATAGGAAGTAACTTTTAATCCAGCTTCCTTGCTATAAATCGGAATGGTACACAATCATTTTGCATGGGTGTACAGCTGGAAATATCACAGACTTGCTGAGAACTTCTTAGCTAACATACTTGTGCTCCAGGTTTCAGTTTTTGACTCAATAGTGCAAGGAGGAGACGGTGTTTGGGAAGGACTTCGGATCTACAGGGGGAAAATATTCAAATTAGAAGAGCATCTGGACAGGTAGTCAAGTTTTGAATCATTGTATCTTCTAGTCGCTGCACTTAATGATCTATTTTCTTGAAGTTGATTTGTTGAACTTCAAAATACTGATACATTTAGCGAAGCGTAGGGCTATCAAGAGGGTCAAGGGAAGAACTATTTCTAGACTATACGCTCCCAGTTTAGGCGGAGACTTCATAGTTGATTTTTTCCATTACGTTGCTTGCAGAATGTTTGACTCAGCAAAAGCGATGGCGTTCAAGAACGTGCCTAGTCGAACCGAGGTAACTCTTATACGGCTTTCAAGTAAACCTATTATTTATTGCCTAAGATTTCGCTGTAACAGACAGGACGTTTCCATCTCACTGATGAGCAAAAGGAGGAGGTAGTTCTTATCGTTGACGATCAGTCTTGTCTTTAGAAAGTATGTACACTGTGAAACCATATATCCGTAGACTTGAAGAGCATCTAGCAAGATTCGAAATAATGTATGTGTCTGCTGATGGAATTTCCTGCAGGTGAAAAATGCAATTTTTTCTACGCTCATTGCAAATGACATGAGAGATTGTGCACATGTTCGACTTACCCTTACACGTGGGAAGAAGGTACGTATTGAATGGATAAGACAATACTAAAGACCACCTCATGAGTGCTGCTAAGGTTTTGTGTTTCTAATTTTTCTTTATTGTTTTCGGTGTTTTTATACATTAATGACACAGGGAGGTTGCGGAGAACTTCATGTGTTCTTTAGTCCCAGCACTCCCGTAACGAAGTCGAAATCGGACTACACTCCAGAATTACCTGCTTCCTGCACCTGTCAGAAGTGTTCCTTGCGTCTGAATATTGTGGAAGTTGATCTAAATAATATGATTCCTCATTAAGAATCTGCAATGCGTTGTTATTTCATGGCAGTTTTCTTCAGGGATGAGCCCAGCGTTCAACGTATATGGTTGTAATCTTTTGGGTGAGTACTCTTACTTTTCAGTTGCTTCCTTTTGACGATTCATGACTAGTGCTCCTACCTATGTAAAGATTTGATTTTTTGACGATTTTTCTAGGTTTGACCTCCATACTTGGATGTGGCCAGCTGGCAATAAAAGCTGTCATAACCTAAACGACCCACATGACACGGGTGCTGGTAGACATAAATCGTGCGTCCCTTGGTGTGGATGTCACATCTTTATATCGAACAGTAAGCAGATGGCTTCCTTTTCGTGCCTGCAGTTGTGGCGGAGTGGAAACCTCCGGTTTATGACAATACGTCGGGTATCCGCCTAATCACGGCATCTACGAGACGGAACTCTCCCAATGTGAGTTAGTAGACTGTGGATTCCCGAAGTGCTTTTTCCACATGTATGAACGTAGATGTATGTGAATGCACAACGCAGACAGATGCTTATGATGCAGTTTTCAGCAACAGACCATAGTTCTGACAAGGTGTTTTGATGACAGAGTCTGGACTCCAAGATTCACCACAATAATCTAATCAACAACATCTTAGCGAAGGTCTTGACTCAACTCACCCTATTTTCTATCATTAAGTTTCAAGCATGTCACCTGAGTTGAAGACACACTGAGTTTTTAAAGTTCACTCTGGATTGATATAATCATCGCTCACATGTTATCCACATCGTAACAGGTTAGCCATTGTTGACTTATATGTACAACATGGTTGTACTAGAGACATCACAAGATTTGTCACCATCAGTGCATTTGGCAGTTTCTTGAAGATGTGTGAATAGATCAGTTGTGACTTGAAAAAACTGGCTCTAATTATTAACTTTTATAGCCTATCTACCTATATACCTGTATACGACCAACACCTTGAATCCAGTGCGATGAAAAAGAGCGTGACACCGAGTGAAATTGCCTTCTGTCGTTTTGGTGCAGGTGGAGGGTAATTTAGCTGGCGCGGATGATGCAATTATGCTCGACTGCGAGGGTTTTGTTTCGGAAACCAATGCAACCAATATTGTTAGTTTCTTTACATGAAAAAATCTCGCCTCAGAAGAGTCTTAGTGCATCATGACAGAAGTGAAAGATCAACAAATCATAACATGATTTCCTTCTTTTTCTTCATTCTGAACATCTACTGCGTTTCTAAAAATTACTAGCATCCTTGTTGAACTTACGAGCAAGACGATGTTTGATCTTGCAGTTTATGGTCAAGAAAGGGTGCATTTCAACTCCGCTAGCAGATTACTGCCTGCCTGGAATTACTCGAGCGACGGTTGGACACGCTGAACCAAGCTCAAATCATTTCTCTTTTCAGTTAGCACAATCATTGAGAATGCATCTGTTCGTCTCTGAACTTTCAAGAACCGTAGCAGGAGATTTTACTAAACTTTACTCTGAACAGGTAATTGGTTTGATCAAGGAGGCCAAGATGCCGTTTATGGAGAGACGTATTAGCCTAACGGAGTTTCATGCCGCAGATGAGGTGAGAGACATACCAATTTGGAAACAAAGAGTGAATTGCATCCAGTACAATAGTGTACATCAAGCATCTTTTTCCGTAAGGTTTAGACCTACGCAGTGAATAAACTTGGAGAGCTGCTGTTCGTCGATTCAAGTAGTTGTGCTTTTCTTGCACTTTGTGAGGCATTCAAGTATGTGGAAGCACTGGTCTCTCCTCTCCCCTTAGATGATACTTACGACTTTGTTTCTCTTTCATCCAGGTCTGGACAACTGGAACTATGGGCGAGCTTAGTCCTGTAAGTTACGTGGTTTGTGCTAAAATGCTGTCATACTAAATTTAATCGAGATATGCTCTTGACCTATTCGGGTATGCATTTATGGAAGCATTGAAACTGTACTCATGAGTACATGCAACTCCTGAAGAGTACTGACCGCCTCGTGTATATTCTCTGGTATCATTGGAAGATCCTGATTGCTGAAGAAAAAGGACTCGTCTGTTGTTTCTTAGTGTGGCTCAAATTATTGAAATTCTGAAATGGTTTTAAATAGGCCAATGGATTTAGAGCTGCAATGTTTTGAACCTGAAGCTACCCAAGGTTGACTCTGCTGGTGTATATACAATGACAAGTATCCCCCACCGATATGTTTCTCTAATACCATGCAGGTCGTGGAGATAGACGGACGAGTCATTGGTGATGGAAAGGTGGGGCCAATCACCAAACAGCTACAAGAACTATATGCGGCCGCAGCAGACTCAGAAGGAGAATTAATCCCTTTCGGTAAGAAGTGACAAAGCTAAGCTTGTGTATGATACAACTTTGATTCTATGTTATCAGGGCACTAATCCTCAATTTGATCTGTTTTCCATTGTTCTGACAGATGGCACTTCCGATAGTGACAGTTAGAGGGATGTTCCAACATTGTTACACAAGACAAATATTTTTAGTCAAAAACTTGCTAGCACATGCGAGATGACTTGAAGACCTCTCCATGATAGGAACGACTATCGCCCCTGCCTTCATCTGGACAGTGAAGATAATCATTGAAAGGGAATTGTTTGATCCACTTTCAAACCAGGTTCTCACTTAGATCGGAGAAGCCTTGACTGGGTACCTCGCGAGGGAACATTCTGGGCCTTCCGCTTCTCGGCCAAGGATCAAGTTGGTAATCAGCTAAGCTGTCAGCTGTTATCGGGTCGATGACTGAATGACTGCAGTTGAAATCTAGATAAATCAGCCATAAAAGTTGAAATCTAGTGTCCATGCGGTTGTGCCATTTGACGCAGTACGAGGGTGCATAAAGCTAGCGTTATCTCATACCCTTGTTCGTCCATGTAAGGTATCAGATATTTTTCAGAAAAAATAAAGTGTGTACATCTTGTAACATTATAACTAATTATGTTGGTCATATTTTGTGGTGGACGAGTCAAGACTTTGTTTGACAGACTTTCTATCATTCTACATATATTCTCCTCAACATTTTCAGTAAGCACATCTTTACATTTGCAAATATCAATTTTTATGAGTGCTAGATTGTCAAGTAGATTCAAGGTCATCATGCTGTGGTTGACAGGTCAGTTAAGCTGCTCAAGAAGACATGGATTTTATAAGATTTGAGTATGAAGTTCAGTAACTTTTTCGAATATGTTCATGTGCGATTGATACTCTGGATGCAAGTATTTTAAAGATGTTGAATTTTTCAATGATGAAATCACAAGACTTTGAATGATTTGTTTATCTTGAGTGTCCGTATCAAAAGTTTATGTTGAGTCAGAACCTATGTAACAACGCCATGTCCAAATTAAATTTCAAGCAATCCATCGCGATCTGAATTGCTTATGTAATGTCAAACCATCTGTCTATAGCATGAATACATCACTGTCACCCAAATCTGATTAGTTCTCAAGCATGAAATATAGTTTACTCCTGAACAATACTAAAAAATGAACATATAAGCCTTCCCATCTATTTATTTACATCTCGAATTTACCAGCACAATTGTTTTAGTTTAATATATAGTATATTCAATATTACATTGTGGAATGTTGCAAATTTACATACATCATATCTCCCATTCACACAATCATGACACAAAATCATCCTACCTACAACTGTGTCCAATATGACTAGTGCATTTTATAAGGAAACGTGCCCGTGATCATGAAATCTGCAAATTGAATGTTATACGTATTTACGAAACTGCACGACAATGCAAAGTAACATTCGCAATGTTACTTTGCATGCAGTAATACATAACGACTAGTTTCTAATCTAGTAGAATTCAAATAACAATATGTTACATGGTCAAATCTTCTTTACAGACAAGAATATACTCATTGGTTTGATTTGATGATAAGCTTTAATTCCAGTTATGAGAGTGAAATGGTGAGCTAAAATCAATTGAATGATATTTGACTTTTGGAAGAAAAGTCACTTTCGTGTGTATCACGAAATCATGTCATGTTGTTATACAGTCGTTTATCGCATTGTAGTACTGTGAACGGTTGAAGAATTTATTTTTCATAGTTCACTAATCAGATGTGCGCTAAAATTGCGCTAGAAATTGTGGTAATATTTGAGTTTGTCATCAAAGTTAGATCTTAGTGGTATGATAATACTTTTTACTACTCTGATTTACTCAGGTTGGAAAAGACACTATATCACGGCTTCTACTACAGTCTGTAGCAGAATATATCTAGAATATGTCAGAATATTTTCAGACTTTGTACCTGAAATCAAACTTGCATGATTTGTAGTCTGGTGGGTTAACGATGACAAGATTTCCAAATTTTGCTGCGGCAAGTAAATGCAAACAATCATGTTTTCGAAACATCTGAACCTTTACTAGGAGCCACAATATGTGTTGAACAAAAGACAGTTCGGAGATGGTGTCAAGGTAGGATTTTGGAAAATATGAAAGGTCGAGTTGGTTCCTGATGAATTATTTTCTCCAGGCTGACAATAATCCAGGCTATGCCACTTCACTCAAGGAGCGGTAATATACTCGCTCATATCTTTCACCCCGTTCAGCATAAGTTCTATGCCGATGATTTTCACATAGTTGTGTTGAAGGGAAAAAGTTCATGACTTCAACTCTTGACATAAATCATCAGCGCAACAGCAGACGGCGTGGGTGCGACGTGTGATTAGTCGAAGGAAAAGGAAAAGACCATATATATGTATTATATATGGCGAGCCAAATACACATGAATGATGAATCACTGCGGCAGTAGACTAAAGGCGAAACAGGAGCCGGCAGATTCGGAAGGCTACACAACGAAATACGCCTCGCCACCTGAAGTTAGGTGTCTCTCTACAACTGCACAAACTCTTCAGCGCAACGCCATCCCAGGCCAGCAAATACTACCCATATACTCTATAGTAAAAAGTCCGAACCTGACAGTGGAAGCTCGTCTTCTGTAGTCCTAGTACTAAGAGTGAGGTTCTGATCACACTAGAATCCTTCAGAAAGCTCAATTGATGGAGGAGCTTCGACTGTGATCCCTCTTCTCAAAGTTAGGGTAACTGGTGAAGATTACCTCCAATGCCCGGGCACATATCTCACCAGCATTCTATGCAGGGAAAAAATTCTAATACTAAACACTACCAATGTCTAAGTAAGCAATGTCTACTGTCTACTGCCTGTTCTGCTTATCCCAGATGAAACCTAAGTGTGGCTGAAAATAAGTGCAAATACCCAGCTGGCAAGTCAGCAACCTCATTATATTTAACAGATTTTATTCCCAACGAATGGCAAAGTAATGAACTCCAATTGAAATGAATAATAGAATAGTTCATTCCTTTAGTTAGATGGCAATGTCTTAATCCTTTGAGGGAAATAAATTTGCTCCCTCATCGTTCCCAGACATGCTCAATGAGTTGCTTGAGACAAAATTGATTGCAGGGCCGCCCGGTGTTGTGGTTGTAAAGACGACCATGTAGAGGCGAGGGCATCAGGAGGCAAGGTCTGTTGCAGATGGCGTAATATGTTGACCATGCGCGCTGCAGTTGCCTGTGATACTAGTGGTCCATCTGCTGTCAATACCTGAAAGACAAATCCACCATTAGCCCGGTAACACGCCTTACAGTTTGAACCGCTATATTGCTCTTAATTCTTAAATCAAGTCTTTGCCTCGAAGTTTCAGGAAATATATTTCAGAAGTCACATATGTTGGTAAGACAATAAAGATCCAGAGCCTGGCTGTTTAGGGGCTTGGCAACAAACCATAAACACACAACTCACCTCCACAAATACGGACGCGATCTTCGGTAAGTATTGGTTATTAGGGCCCAGAAGATGTGCATCAGACCTGGAAATTGGAAGAACAGGCTGTGTCAGCTCATGCAGGAGATCCACACATTTCATTTTGGTCTGTATCAGGTGTTGGTTCAGAAGAAGCACTTGAATTTCACGTCGATGTCTTACACTCGCAGGACAAAAAAAAACTGAGATACTCACCTCTCCACCATCACACAAAGCTGTTCGTGTACTATTTTCGCTTCAACCAGATCATGTTTCAATGGCAAGCAACTAAGCCAGGCAGGCACGACCTGTCAAAGACGTCATCGCGAAGCCAAATTCAATCCATGTTGGCATGATTATGGTATGAACACTTCTAAAATCCCGGTACCAGCGAAGAACACTAAATTACACATTGGAAATTATTCATGTTCTATCGTAATCAAAACAGCGAAACAGCGAAATATTGGCTCAGACACAATAGCTTTCTTCAAATTGAGATTCTCACCTGGGCTGCGTCAATTCCGTCTCTTTGGAACTGGCATATCTTTCCCAAGGCAGATACTGCATTGTCTGTGGCCATGATATTCTCCGGGGCTGCAGAAGTTGGCTGAGCGACTACGGCGGTGAGCCTGGTTAATGCCTCTGCACGGAAAAATGAGACAACATCCTCAGACAGAAATCGTCTAGTTGTATGAGAATCATATACATAAACAAATGGACGAGGCAACAAGTTTTAGAATCAAGCGACTCGATTTTCTTACCTCCCACGAGAGGTTTGAAACTAGGGCCTCCGAACTCAGCACAGACTCCGATACCATAGACCGATGCCTGCCATAGAGGGATATAAGATATCACAGAATTAAAGTCATAACAAAAAAAATAGCAACCAACTAAACAAACAGACTTAAGTACCAGCATGAGGTACCTACCTGCCGAACGTCCGGGTTGGCATCGGTGCAGGCTTCTAGCAAAAATGGAAGGAAGGTATCATAGTACCTAATTCACGAAAGTATCCCATTAGAGGGGAAAATGACTGGTAAAACAACAATGAGTAACATGTGTTGCAGTTGAAAGCAAAAATGTCACCATTGATTCGCTAAAGCCACGATATTCGAGTTTCATCCAGACTCCAACGTATCCACACGGTCAGGTCTTAGGTTAAATGTGGGGCGTAGTCCAAGAGACATGAATACAGCAAACATAAGCTCCATTGTACTAATACTACCAATGGTAAGTCAGTCGAATACAACACAAAAAGAAATAGTATGGCAGTTTACTTTATCGCTGCTTCTCGGCATTGTTCGGCTACATCGTCGAATATGCAGATGGCTACCCTCTTCTCCTCCGGGGAGCGTTCCTTGCCCTGTATAATTAGAGAAAATGATCTTAGAAGTACACAGAGCACTTTCATAAAAGCAGGAAAAAGTGACACGAAATCCCAAAGAAATCTATTCTGACTACAAACACATCTATCATCTACAGACGTGTCCACAATTCATTTTCTCTAAGTAAGGTAAATCACAAATGACAGATTGTTATCAAACTAAAGCTACTTCTTCAATATAGTATGTGACGCCTTACTAATGTGGGAGTTGTGGGTTGCTTACCAGCATTGGTGTAATGTAGACGATCAATTCTTCAAAGTATGGGAGGAAAAGATTTTTATACGTTTTGATCAAAGTCCCAAGACACTCCCCAACCTGAGAATCAGAATCAATGGTAAAACGACGACGAAATAAAATTAGAATACAAATCTTGCGGCTTTTGAACCAGGGAGGCAATGAGGCCAATTTCTCTCCTAAACCTGAGACTGAATACACAGCAAGTTTGAAAGCACCTGAGACTGACTTGCAAAAACGGTCATTAATCATAAGGTCTGTTGTTTGAATTCCGATCTCGAGACACATCTTCAATCCAAGCTAAACTCTAAGCTTCATCTATCACGGAAGCTAAACGAATCAATGTCAAAAGTACCTGATCAAACACTTCCTCTTCCTGTTCATTCTCCTCTTCTAACAATTCCCCTTCCTCCGCATCAAAGTCCTCCGTCTTGGTTCTCTCAGCACGTTCTTTCTTCCTAGAACTGCTTGCCGTTATTACTTGCTTGAACTCTTCAACCATTGTCTTAATCTGACCAGAGTCAAGAAGAGGACCCGCAATCTGCCATATGTACCCAATGGATTCCGGGCGTTATGAAAGTTCAAAACAGTTGAAGTACTGCAGACTGGAGAGGGTACTGTATATCCTCTTCACCACGCTATCGAAAGGACAGGAAATTTTCCTTCGCAGGACTTGATACCCACGCTCCCCTTGCCTACACGGAGATAGTTTGAAAAGCAATAACAAATAGGACAAACGAAATCAAGACAAACCTGAATGCACTCGTTCAACGCATCCAGCATATTTGCACATATTTCGGTTTCAGGTTCCTGCAATAAAAGAGTACAGAACTTAGGAAGGCAACATCTTAGTGTTTCTAAACAACATCTGGCGAAACAGACAACGATACACAGCAACGATAGTAGTAAGTTTGTACCGTACTAACCTTATGCAAGGCCTCTACGAGAGCTGGAACAATGTAGTCAGTAAGCTGCTTCAAATACAACTCGTTTCTTCCATGCGCCTGCCCCTTCTCTACAGCAAGTTTTCCAGAACGTAACAACTCCGGCATAGCTGTGAAACAGTACCAACGAAAGGTTAATTTCACCGTGAAGAACAGCAATCATGAGAGCGAGGGTAAGCTACTAGTGCTCGAATCAAATCAACGCAACATAACTTGACTTCAAGCAACAAACCAAAACACAAATCCTGAAATGCTTACGGGATCAAATCAAGCAGGAATGATTGAGGCATTGGACTAGGTGTATTGTCTAAGAGCACCTGAAACAGCAGCCTTGCGGACTTCTTCATGGAAGTAGAACTTGAGAAGAGGAACCAAAATTGGTGCAACCTAATGTGTCAAACGGTAATTTCAGTGTCAAACGATATTTTCATTCTCCTCCGATCGAGCAAACATTCACAACACAGACCAAATGCAAAAGAACTCGACGGGTGTACAAGAGTATCTGTCATTCCCTGACCAACCTGGTCAATCCAAGGATAAAATCCCTCTTTCAGCTCATCCGCGTAGCAGCAAAGCATGTTACAAGCCGTAGCTTTCTCCTCAAGAATACTTGTCCGTATTCCAATCTTCTTGTCACCGACAGTAATTGTTTCGACACTGCATAGCCGTGCGAAAGGAGTGATTATTGCAAGTGGATCACTCCATAAGAGCATGCATATCCCTCCGTATATAGGCAATACGGAAAGTTCAAAATCACTGCTGGAAAGGGTCTACCTCAAAAATCTTTGAGAAAACCGTTGGAATGAAGTGAAGAGAAAATAAGGAGGTCCAGCCAATAGAAAAGGGGCAATGAAACCACCTACCTCTCATCATCAGTGTCATTACCATCGTCGTCTGAGTCAGCGTCCGTAATGGTCACATCTGGCTTCAACTGAGCAGAGCGAAGCAACGGTGGCATCACGACGCTCATGTACGGCAAAAACTCTTGTCCCAAACATTTGCAAAGCCGAGCCCAAGCCTACAAAGGATCGAAAAGCATAAGTTATCAATGTAGGGGCGTCATTTTGTCAGTGTAAGATAAATGGGACAAGACGCTGAATTTGTAAGCAAAAATGAGTTGAAGCCTAATCGAGTTAGTCGAGTACTTCTTGCTCTCCACTACCAAGTGATCAAACAATGGCTCTGTGGTTAAAATAAGACATAAAGTGTCTGCGGTAGTGGTCTACTCGAAGCATCCAGGTCTCGAAAAGCCCAAAGAGTGTTTCGCGTGGAGACCGGCAGCGCTTGCAACGACCTCTCCCCATATGGACAAGTTGTAGTTTTTAAAGGACGACGTGACGGGATCAAGCACAGCGTGAATAAGCTCCAAAGAAACATAATGCGCAAGATCTTATGGATGACAATCAACCTGGAGCATGTAGCTGATTGTAGGATCGTCGTCTTCCATCTGAGACCCCTGAAGGTTCATCAGCACCTCCATAACCTGAGGAAGAGAACACCTCACAATCAGCATTATACACTAAAAACCAATACGGCGACAAGAGACAAAAAACAAAAACCAAAATCCAATTTCGAAGCCAACACCAGCCACAATCCTCACTACACTAATTGTCAAGGTAACTTTAAATATAATTATCAGAAAATCCATAAACGTTGAATTAATGAGTACTGTCGCACAAACCAAAGACCAGAGACCAAAACAATAGACACTGAACTTCTAAGGAGCCTTGCAGTTCGAAAAGAAGAAACATGTAATGAGTCCCACATCAGCAGGACGTGGATACAAACAGGGCGTGGTCATCCAGTCAAGTTTCAAATCTACTGATCGTGTCACCGCATTCCACGTCATGGAACGAAGACTCTGTGAGAAGCATTTATCCTTGAACAGAAAAATTACATGAGTGGGCTAGAACCCACCTGCTTGGCGTCATCTCGAAATTTTTCCTTGCCGACAGCCATTCCAACCAGACTTATACATTCCATTGATTTTGCTCGAAGCATTCGATTAGCCTTGTCATTGGCACTGATCAAAATTGTCTTCAAGAAAGGCATGACTGTGTCGTAGTACTTCTGAAACAAAGCCTGTGAAACACAAGAACTGAATTCAGTTCTACAAAAACAGAGCAAAGAGTCTTCCAAATCTGTGAGGAAGCAAGCTGAAACGCCAAGTGGTCTTCTATCTCCTTTAGGAACTTTTATTTAAGTGGACAACATTATCGTTAATTACCTGTGCGGAGTCTGCAACTGAAGCCAGGGCGGTCAGTGCACCTTCTTGGACCATCCTTTTGCCATTCTGTGACAATCATACGAAACATTAGCCATCAGTGGACAATTTTCTCTAAAAGAACTGAACAAATCATTCTAAAAAAGGTCAAATTTGTAAAATAGGTTGGCACCTGCAACAAGACGAGTAACTTCGTAATGACCCCGTCGAGGTAGGGAGTCAGAATTTCAGGAGTGCAGCTTTCGCTGAAGTTCAAAATCGCCGCGGCTGCGTGTGCCTGCATAAGATTCCGTGAGATAATTTCTATCCAGTTCGACTAAAACTCTGACGGCATACAGAGCTCAAGTGAAGACTAGTAGTGGAACCAGGACAGATTGCTTGCCCTAAAGAAGAACGTCTTTAGTAATCGTGTCGCTTTCTAGGCCTCACCTGCACTCGTGGATTTTGGAAATCATCCATGGCACCCACAAGGGCGGGTAGCACCCGTTGATGGTACTCTTGCTGCAGTACAGGACCCAGATCCGTGGAAAGCTGGCCGATAGTGTTTATGGCTGCCCATCTTACACGTGGATGGGGATCGTTGAAAGAATTTAGTACCATATCCACAACTGGAGCTAGGTTTTTGGTCATAACCTGGAAGCCAATGGTTGAACACACGGTGGAGCAACAATTCAGGTTAAATCCTCGGAAGTGAGATGCTTTCACAAATGGACAGGAACATGCGCAAAACTACGATGATCGACGGCTGCAGCTCAGTAGCTCGAACCGATTATCCCTGACGATCTAGACTCGTTCAAATTGACGGGAATTGCAAAGAAACACATCAATTCTGGGCGAAGGCAGCACTCTTTAAGGATGATACTGACAGACTGCTCAAGCTCGGCGAAGTCTCACCTTAGAGCATCCCTCTGCAATCTGCGCCAGAGTAATGAGAGCTGCATGGCGCTTCTCCCAAGCTGCATCAGCTATGTAAGATGGCAACAACTGTGATGCGACGGGTAGCACGGTATTGCCTCCAAGAGCAATAGCCAGCCTGTCAAGGCATTCTTGACCAACTTCGTAGTTGCTAGATTCGCCAGCGTCTTCATCTTCGCTGTCCGCGGCATGCCACGAGGGCTCGTCCTCGATATCCAAAAGCATCCTCATGAGGGTTCCAAACAATCTCCCGATGAAGTGAGGTAGTTTTCGCATCATTCCTGGAGCTCGCTCCCTAGCTTCGGCCAGAGTGATAAGGAACTCGACGGCAAGGTGGCGAGTGCCTTCATCAAGCTCCTCCGCTTCAACGATCTGCAGCATGTTGCCCACAACCTCTGCCAACTGGCGACGCAAAAACCGTGGTTCTGTACCTGCCACGGCAATGAACATCTCCAGCGCTTCTTGAGCTGTTGCCTCCTCCCGGTTATTCAGAGCCAACGACAATGTTTGCAACATTCCGGGTAGAAGATCCTGGAAGCAAGCTCGATCTTGGGCGGACTCTAGAGTTGCCACAAAATGGGTAGTTGCTCGTAACGCAGCCAAACGGAGATCACTCGATGTGGTTGACGCCAGACATTGTTGAAATACTGCGTGCAAGGTGGGCAAATGTGACCTGAGCTGCGGCCCAATGTATGGGGCCAGCTGCGCGAACATGGTCAGTGCACTCTCCCGAAGCTTCATTGAATCTGAGCTGACGCACTGAAACATAAAAGGCAACAATTCGGGCCATTGTCCGTCCTCCAAGATGTCAGCCGCTAACTCTGTGACCGTATCGCACAACTTCTTTAGAATGGATTTTCCTTCCTCGTGCTGCACACACAGCAGAAGCTGAGACTTCACTGCAACCTGAGTCGCAGGAGAAAGTTTCTTCCACAATGATACGTCGTCTTTCGTGATGAGCTTACGAAGAAGAATGGCAACCATAGCCCGCACTTCAACCTGCTGAGAAACTTGCAAAGTCTGGACAAGCTTCAGTACGAGTGCTTCGGCATGATTCACTTTGCAGTGATTGAAAATCTGCTCTGCTTGCCCTCTCTGCTCATTTCCCGTGCTCATGAGCTGTGCAACTAGAGCTTCAAGAGGTGCCACGGAGTCTCCTCCCAGCACGGCAGCCACTTGGGCGTTCAACATCTGCTCGTTAGCCATGTTCATTTTCGCAACTAGCAAAGCGATGCTCAGATCCCGTGAAGAACAGAACTTCTGGATTTTCTGTGGAAATTTGCAATTGTCTCCGGGTTCCTTCGACCACAGCTGTCGATCAGATACCAGTATCTTGATTGAAGGAAAAGACCATGTGCCTTTCGAATCTCCAGCAAGGCCAGAGAAAGAGTCTCAGATCCAGGGACAAGGCGAGGAGAAAATACTGAAATCCTCAACGACAGTTCCGTCCAGGACTCGATTGCTGCAAAGCATACGACCCACACTGACGTCCTAAACCCACAGAAAATCTTGGGACATCCGATCACAAAACCCTAGGGCACCCAATTCCTCTTCCCACCTAAAACCTCACAAACATCGGACCGCAAGCCCTGCCAACGCAATCCGGAAGGGAGAGCAGAATCACAAACAGATTCCTCCTCGCGCAATCTCCTCCGAAAAGACCCACTTCTTGACCGATCCCGGAATCATGCCGAGCCCGCCAGCGGACTCGGACGAGGCGGCCATCGGGGGCCCTCCAGCTCCTCCACCGCCGTCCTTCGGCCCCAGATCTTGCCCCTCCCGGCCTCCCTCAAACTTCGAATCGGTCTCCCGCGCAGAGCAATCCGCCACCAGCAGCCCGGATCAAAACCTCCCCCCTCCTCGCAATCTCAGAATTTCTCTCGCAACCTAACAAAATCCCCTCCGCCCCGCCCCGACCGATCCACCACGTTCTTGGATCACTCACGCCCGCCCGCGTCGAGCCCCAGTCGATTCGATTCGAGATTAAAGTCGAGTCGAGATTAAATCATGCACCCGCGTCCACCCACCACCACCAGCGGCAGCTCAGTCGAGCCCCCCACGGATCTCCCCACGACCTCTCGAGCAGCACCACCAGCGAGCAGCAGCAGCAGCTCCCGGCAGCAGAAGCAGCAGCAATGCAATGCAAAGCTCAGCCCTCGCCTCGTCCTCTGCTCTCTCTCTCCCTTCCCTCGCTCCCTCGCTCCGTCCCCTGGGGTCGGCCTCCTCTCTGTTCTGCCCTGCCCTCGCTCGCTCCCTGGCCGGGCCCCTGGCTGCCTGGCTGCGTGCGATGGCGTCCCGACGCTCGCTCGATGGGGAGCCGAGAGACAGCGGTACAGCTTTGACGCAGCGTCCCGCACAAAAGCTCGCGCGGACCCAGCGCCAGAACGAGACCGAGAGCAAGCAAGCGAGCGAGAGCGAGCCAGCGACAGCAGCACCTCCTCCAACAAACCCTAGAAAGAAAGAAATCAGCCCCCCCTCCCCTCCCGTCCCCTCCCGCGGACCCTCCCCGCCCCGTCCCGCGCTCTCGTACTCTCCCCCTTCCTTCCCAGAAAAGAGGGAGAAATTGCAAATTCTTTATTCTTTCCATTAATTTGACTTTATCCGTTCCCCGTTTCTCCTCCGCCTTAAACTTAACTTGACTCTGGGAGAGCTCAGCCATGCATGCTCCTTGCTTCGAGCTTCCGGGTTCCGGATTCCCGGTTCCGGTTCCCGTGAGCTCGGGTCCAAGGCCGGTTATTGCTGGGGGATGATTTTCTTGACTTCCGGCCCGCTTTCTATCCATTCGCATTTGACTTGCCTGCCGGACGCTTGGCCGTCGTACGAGAGCGAGGAATACTTTCGCTTCTTGACTTTTTCTCGCGCCCATGATTCGCTCACTTACTGCGCTTCTTCGTTGGGCAGCTGCACTCTGTGGTCTGTCAAGTCGCCGGCCTTCTTTCCGTGGTAGATGAGACCTTCGTTTCTTTTCTTCCTCGTACGCAGGCCACGCGAAAAAAAGACCCACCCTCGTGAAATAAATCAATAAAACGTGACATCATTTCAGGCTTGTTATAAATATAAACAATTTCGGAATTTAATGTCATGGATATCTTTTCTTTTCTGCGTGGCAGATACTTAACTCGGTAGAGGTTGTTACCGTGGTCAGGTCAGTTCAGTCCAGTGGTTTGGAGTCCAGCCAAGCCGTGCACTGTAGTTCTGGAGTTTCAGACTGCTCCAGGGGATAGGACCTGAACCTTGGCAAATTTAGGAGAAACGTATTCTTGTGCACATGAAGTGTTTGACAGCAAATCCTGAATTTCTGGGAGGATTTTGCCTTTTAGAGCGTAAAAAACAAAACCAACTCGTCAGCCTGGGATAAGGAACAGACGAAATGTGCTCATTGCCGTATGTGATCCTGACTATTCCCTTACCTTCCTCCGTTTATTTTCTTGGTGATGGTCCAAGCTAAGCTGATGCTTCCACCCTTGGAAGTATCAGCATGCCTTCAAGTTGAATGTAAGATCACATCACAATAGACATGGAATTCTATTTACAAGTTACTTTCTTTTATCTATTTTAGATGTAATCAAAGAAACAAATGCATGGCATAAATGAATGCGGATCCGTATCATGATAGACAATGTTGAAACCAAAACAGTATGATGGTGATATGTTTCAATAGTATGAACTATACCTAACTTAGATATACAAATGGAATGCGGAGCTGTTCTATTAAATACATGAGCATTTAATGAAGTTGATTGATCCCTTATGAATTCCACACTTTATACCTGCTGCCGAACAAGTGTATGACAAGCTTAACTTAGTTATATATTTGTGACCTATTACTTTCCCACAAATTCTAGTGATATTTTGCAAACCTCAAACATATGGAAATGAATGTCTATATCTTATAATAACTCCAAATCAAGACAAAAAAACATGAGTTCTTTTGACATGCTTAGAGACGTTGGTTGCTATAATTCTAATAGATATCATCCACAAGGAAACAATGAAATCGTTGAAAACTTCTTCATGTGTGAGACTTATGACCACACAAATATTTTACAAAATTGTTTGTTCCAAATCACCAGAAAATGAATCTTAATAAGAGTTAACGTCAGGTCATTCCAACTCTTTCCGTGTGAGAAATATAACTCTTCAGTCATAGCAAACATCATAATGGTGATGACATGGTGCATGGTTACACTCTGACCACTAATTTTGCAACAAGTAATATTTTAGATGTTACGTTACTTTAGTATAGTCGGACAAATAAAGATCAGTTAAATAAAGATGTGTATAAGTTGTGTAAAATATCCTAATGCATGTACTTAGTAAATATTCATGATCATGCAATAATTTTTTTTCATGTTTTTAATCACACAACCTATAATTTAAGTAATTTAAAAAAACCTTATGACATCCAATGAAAGTTGTGGAAAACCTTCTATGAGATAATGGCCAAAAAATATGTATTTCAATTTTGAACAATGACACTTTATTTTTTGAATTGATAATAGATATGAATTTAAATTTGAACTATGACGTTAATACTAATTTGCACTATATGTGAATTAGATCTAAATTATTTTAAAATCTCATAAGTTCAATTTAAATTTAAAATTTGAGTAATATTTTACAAAGTCATGCTTTGTTGTATATTAAAGACATATATATAAAGATTAACATGAAGCTAAATTATTATCATTACATATAACTAAATATCATAAATATGTTTCACTAATAATAAAAACCATATCAGATTATTCATGTAGAAAATTTTGTTTATAGATAAAAAAAATAGTTTTGTTTATACTTTACATATTTTGGCGTGTGATTTGGTTGATTTAATTGGTATAGTGTTGTCAACTTTAAGAAGTCACTTTGAATAAGAGTATCATTTGAAAATCAAAAAAATTTCTTAAGAGCTTATATATATATATATACACACATTTTTCTAAGTATGTATATTTATATAAATCGAGATTCTAACTTTTTTATAGCATTTTTTAATTATAATTAGAATACACCAGTTTGTACACCAATTTGAATGCAAAGTTAGCTTTTGATCAGAAAAAAAACTGTAATTTCTGGCTTTTCATATACAATGTATGATATTCTAGTGTAGAAATATGGATATGCATATGTAAAATGTTTATGATTAATGTGAAAGAATATTGAAATAACATATAAATAATATAAATGATGTAATGAGATTTTGAATCAATCTAAAAAGAGAACGAAATGATTTCAGACTTGTTCAAAATATAAAATCTGAAGTATTTATTTTTTTGAAATTTTTGTTGGAAAAAATTAATTCAAATTTTTTAACTTCGCTAGTCTTTCTGAGTTGACAAAATTTCACGATCACTTGTTTTGCAATTGTCAAGGAACCAATGAAAGACAATGTTTTGTTTAATCTTATTTTCAAAATGCCACTTGTGGCGTTTTGACCTCGCAGAATTGATGTTGAAACCGCCACATGTTGGATATACTTTTAATATTTTTGTTCCAGCCACATGTGGCGTATTGGCTGCATTGCATTAAATTTCTGCTGCCACGGCTAGCTGTGGCGTTTTGGTTGGCTTTCATCAAAATCTTGCCGCCACAGGGTGATTTTTCTGCACATAGGGAAGTCACACTCGTTCCCATGTGACTTTGATGTACCAGTCCAATCCGCTTGGCTATCGACTCCTCATAGTACATGCGGCGCTCTTTGGCTACCTCCCATTTTGCTAACGCAACTAAATATGAAAAGTTGTGCATTGTGTAAGCCTCGACAAGGTAAGGTAAAAGGTATTCGAGTAAGGCATGGGCCTCTACCTTTACCCTACTTTTTACCTTACACGTAACACTATGGTCTACCTTTACACTTTACCTCTACCTCAGGGTAATTACCCAGTACGGATTTCACGGACGGCATTCACTGGTTTGACCTGCTATCTCCTTCAACTATAGATCCAATGTTAAATGGTGTTGCAGCTGCATGTAATTTCCTAACGTAGTATACCCTTCAACAATAAGCCATGTAAGAAAGAAGCCGCAAGATTACTGCAACTAATTAAAAGAAAAGTAAACAATTGCAAGTTTCTCGGATTATGCAAAAGAGCTATTGAGGTCAGAATTACCAATTCGAGATAAACGTGCATTGCAGTCTAGATTCCATCGTAAGGGAGAATGTGTAGAATGCCACTCAGTAATTCTATCAGCGTTCACGTTTTTGCTTTTTGCGGGTATGAGGTTCGTCAAGAAGAATGTGCAGAAAAATGTTTACGGTTTTTTTTTTGAGGGTTACTCGGTAATTACCGGATAACACCCGAGTTTCTACCTTTACCATATCTTTACCTTACCCTATAGCCAAACATATTACCTTTACTCTTACCTTTTACACTTTTACCGGGTAACCCTAAAGAGTTACTTTCCTTTGTCGAGAGTTAGGATTGTGTACGACGACCGCTTAACTCAAACACATACATTGAGGTGCTTTGATCCTATGCGATTGCACTATTCGTCTTTGATTTAGTTCATAGCAGAAAACACACGCTTGTTCTCCACAGAGCCTATTGGGATTACTAGCATAATTGCTACCAACTTGCAGAAAGCACTCAATGTGTCGGAGAGGATGTCATTTCCTAGGATACCCTTCCAAATGATTGAGTTGTGCCCCAATGACTGCCCTCCTCCATAGCATTTTGCATGAGAGCCTTGAAGCTATCCTCCTGCAACACTACCTCAATACGATCTACTAAGGCTGACACTTCTTTCTCATTGTCCAGTTTGGTGATCTTCTCATATCTGTTGTACAAGATGTTCAGCTTGATACCAATATCTTCATCATAACTCTTCTTCAGCCAATAGGCTGGCTGCAGAACAGCAAAGCCATCAAGCACTTCAATCCAAGAAAATCTCCTTTTGAGCTCAGCCACTAAATCTGGCAGTGTTTGTAGCTGATTTTTTTGCACGATCTTGAGCTGCGTGAAAGCAGCTCCCAGTCACCATGGTAATTTCTATGTGCTGATTTGCTCCAACACCAAGCACTGTGAATGTGTAGGTGATGTCGTGCATCGACACATCAACTCCTTTGCATTGGTGTCAAATTGCAAAATGTCATCATCACTCCAGCACAACGGGCTAAGCTTCATATACTCTCTGTCATCAATCAGCTCAACAAAGTTCTTCCACACTTTGCTTGTGAACATCTTGTCGCCCTCTAAGTATTCATTCTTCAATGCCATTGATGTGTTGTCAACCTGGACATGCAGCAGATCAAACAACACATCCCGCTGCTGACAGAACTTGTTGAGATATTGCAACAACTCTAGCTAACGCATGAAAACCCGACAACCAAGCATGGTATTGATCTCCATGAACTACGCATGTAGCTTTTCAGCAGCTAGCTTGATTTTCTTGTTGGAATCTTTGGAGGTCATGTCATCGCACA